AAAGATTAAGATTGTAGTTTATTAGGAATATATGCAAAATAATTATAGCTAAAAATATTCATTTGTACCATTTCTGATCCTTTTTTCACGTTGAGAGTGTCAAACCATCTCGTTATTAGTAATTTGGTGGAAGTGAACTAAAGAACTACTGAATAACTTTACATCCCATTGTTTTGTGATATCTGTATTTTCAATAAGCTAGCTATTGCCAGCATATTATATTTGATGTCATGTTAGAAAATAATTTTTTACTTTGTGTTAAGAAATCAGACTGCCCTGTTTACAAGTTATCCGTAAATCATCTACAAATTTTCCTCACATATGAAGCGAGACTTTCGCTAATCAATTTGTGAATTAAAATATAGAATTTCAACAAATAATTAAAAATTAAAGTCACATAACTAAAAAAAGAACAAACATGTTAATTTGTAATTATATTGGTGATCCTGTTCAGAGTTCCCCGATCTTGAAAAGAAAAAATTCGGAAACTTTACATTTATTAGTCAGTGTTTTTTGAATCTGAAAATTCTTTAGAACATCCAATATTTAAATTCTGTAATAAAGAAGGAATTAATCAGTTTTAACTGTATATGATATTGGTATTCGAAGATTACAAACAATAATCAATCAAGAAATTCTTCTAAAAGAAAGTATATAACACAAGTTACAATTACAGATATTGTATTGATAAAAACGAGAGAAATATGGAGAAGAGGGAGAGGAAGGAGAAGGAGAAGGAAAGGAAGAGGGCAAGAAAAAGAAACTGAAAGATATATTTAATATCTCTTTACTAATTAATAAATTAATAAATACAATTTTTTTTACATTCGTTATAATAAAAAAATATAGAAGAATTGATTCTTCTCATAATATTACACATATTTTTTCACTATTAAATATTTTATTTAACTTGGATTATTATTTATTATAATAAAAAAATCATTTTATTAATTTTACACGAAAACTGTCTCTATGGATCTTCGATTGTACTGATTTATCACGTGATTCCATTAACTTGGGTTGGTGCATTTCTAAATATATTACAAATAGAACAAATAGTACAAATAGTTATATAGTTCAGTGTACTCGAACACCAAATTATTATGAAGTTATTCCTCGAGTCGTATCTACTTGGGTCAAATAATTGCAAGTATTTCTTTGGATTATATGTAAGCCTGCCTGACGTTTTATCTGTTGTTTCTCAACGTATCCATACACTGGGATGATAAATTTCCATAAATATATACTGACATTCTTAAAACATTTTAAAAACACTAAAACATAAGCACATAATAATGTTCAATGCTATTATCAAGTAAGTAAATTTATCAATCCATTATTATTTTCATAAAATTAATAAATAATAATAATAATATTATTATTATTATTTTATATTATTTATTGGTTGAATAATTTCATTAAAAATTAGATTGCCTGAACATCTTCAAACTCATCTTGTTAACAAGAATTCTTCTTGGTTAAGATTAAACTTTACTCGAATTTACCAGACAAGTTATCAATTTCAAGACTTTTGCAATAATATTATATCGTCAAGTATCCTAATACTATTTTTGAGTCAGAAAATTTTCTTTCTCTTCCTGAATATTCACTAATTACTATTTCTCCAATGGGATAACTTACAATTAGAGGAAGGTAAAATCTGTGACTATGTTATTCAATAGGGGAAAAGTTAATTTCAAAGACAATTTTTGAAAAAGGGTCTTCCACATATAGATATTTTAGTATTTCTGGTAATGATATATTGGATAAGCTTTTTCCATATCAGCAACTTTTTGAACTGAAACTAAGTTTAGATTCCAACAACAATAATAACACTCCTGACTCTTAACTCCAACTCCAACTCCAACAATAATTTCATTTATAATTTTAAATTTTTTTTTTATTACAACATACAAACAAAGTTTATTATATTATGTCATTTATTAAATTCACATCACCTAACAGACCAATCTCTTCAACAATATTACCACCTCGAAAGATTACTGAAGCTTACATTCCACCATTACATATTAATCCGAAAATTTAAATAATTATAACTATTTCACAGTATTATTATTGATGAACATGCAGTAGAAATTTCCTCCTTGGTTGATTTTAAAACTGCTTCTTATTCTTCAACAAATTATCCATATGAATTTCAGTTAATTTTTGTTTAGATATGAGCCATGGAATTCTGTTATAGAATTCAATGTGCAAAGATTTGGAACTTCCATATCTTATTATGAAATTTTTTATGAGGAAGTAGAGATGGATTTGCCCCACAAACTTTTGGAATATTTTTCATGGTCACTTGCAACTCAGTTTGCGGTTCGTTTGTCCTTTATTTCTTGTTTCAGAATGAATAATCATAATCACAAACTAACAATACACACCTGGAGGGGGGGGGGGGAATAAAATTGAATGTTGAGATGATCGATGATGTCATTTCACGAGTACGTCATCACGTTCAACTTTGCAATCTGAAAGGTTGTATCATAATTTGAGAATATTAAAACAACAATTTGATAAATATGAACATTCAAAATTAGGGACTGATGAAATTCTTGGTGGTTATAATCCTTTGATGTGGGTGTTTATATGGAAACAAATGATAGTTTCATTTTCTCATTGAAAAATGGTAATATTCAAAATTCAATTCTTAGCAGAGTAAAGATACCTAAGTGTATGCTGTATTAAGAATGGAAAAGTAATCACAAGGTGGTTCGGAGGAGTGGGCAATAATTCGTTTAATTTTATTAAATGTTAATGTTTATATTTTTTTATGAAATAAATTGTAAGAAATAAAAATTTAAGTTAATTTTTCCAATTATTATTTTTGAACAATTTCTACTTGGAATTATTTATGAAAAAACATAAAATAACATTCTTTTTAATTGTCAATTATGAAGTATCAAAAAAAAAAAAATAGATATAGAAATTCTCACTTATATATAAATTTATAGAAGTTATTTATATAATAACGAAGGATGAAAAATTATAAAAATATTGAAATTCATATTATCCAAAATTTGTCTGAAATACGTTGCCCATTTATTATGTTTTTAGATAATAACTTGCACATTTGTCTTTTTTTTTTATGCATTATAAAATTGAAAAATGATATTTTTTAATACAAAAATAATGTATTAATTAAATAAGAATCAAATATTTGTATAGATATTTGACGTGTCAATAATACAAAAAAAATGTAAAATGCTAAATGTATTAAACGCATTGTGATATTTTTTTATGAATTTAGCATTTAGGAACAATCTATTTAAATACGTGTAATTATATATTATTGAGCAAAATATCACATTCCTTTGACCCTCATCCAAAAGGATTAATTGACTAATTATCTTTTATGACTTTCAACTTTAAGATATTGGTGTTTGATGTCATTCTAAAATAGGAGTTGAAGAAGGTTCAGAGAATGCTGTAGGGTAATAACATTGGTAAGCGTAAGATTTTTTTGAATAGTAGAGATGAAAAATTACATAAACCATTGATGACCACAATCAAATAATTTAGGGTGCGAAAAATAAAAATATTCAGACGCATATAAAAAAATACTCGGACGCATATAAATTATAAAATTCATTATTTAAATATTTGTAAAATAATTTTAATGAAATGATCTCAAATTAGTTAATAAAAAAACTTGGTATTTAACAAATGTTTAACAAAAAATGTTAGAGGTATTTCATACTGATGTATCGAGTAAAATTTTGAATTAAATTGAATCTTTGTTCCTCAACAACATGAAGTTGAAGAGAGTTCATAATTTCTATTTACACAAATGTACTTTTAAAAAATTTCTTGATAGTATTAAGATGGCGAAACATTCTCTAGGTGTTAATTCGAAAAAGATAATTAATAATTATTTCAATATATACAATTAAATTTAGCTGCGGTGCTATTCTAACTATATTTTAACTTTATGCACTGTCTTCTAAAATTAGCAATAATTTTTTTATTAAAAAACAGTAATTATTACTTTTCTGGAAAAGTAATATTTATAAAACAAAAAATTAACTGTTAAGGTTATAATAATGACGACACACTCATTTGAAAAACTTAATTTTTTCAAAGTTTGTCAATTTATTTATATAATAATATAAGAGAATACAATAAATCTTATACATATAATAATATAAAAGAATAAAATAAAAATTTATAATAATATAGAATACAATACAATAAAAATAAAATAAAATTTGGAGTTAAAAAAGCATATTGGAGAGGCTCCGTTGGTTAAAAAAAATTTTTTTTTTTTTTTTTTTTTTAAAAAAAGATATTTATAAATCTAATTTAATTATTAAAGCGATAAATAACTATATAATATTCTTTAAGAACTATACTAATTTTTGATTATAAAAAACTGACGAATTTATTTATTACTGAAATATCGTATCGCTATGTTTTTCTCTGCAAGTTAATTCCTCAAGGGAACTGCAAACACTAGGGATATCCAAACCAATAATAAGTTGTATATTTGAACAAATATATAAGGTACATATACTCCACTGTATATTACAACTTATATATGCATGCAAATATACAACTCATTATTAATTTGGAGGATATCCCTAACGGTTGAAAATACCGGAAAGGATTTGTTTCGAAGAAAAAATCACAGCAATAGGAAAGTAATTTAATAAAATTGTTGGAATGATTGGATGATATCGGATTCATCCAAATATTCATATTCTAAGGATTGATTTTGAGAGGTAATATCGTCATTATTCATAAAAAAGTGGGATTCGGCGTTCTCAGGTTGAAGCATGGAATAAATGGAATAAATGTTTTCGTTATGTTGTTCGGTAATACGAATTGAAGTCTCGAATTCCATATCAATATTATTATCGTTTGTTTCTGAAGTGGATAATTGGTGAATTTCATGAAAATTATCTTCGGGATTAGAGTATAAGTACTCATCGGAAAGTTGTTGTAAATAAATATTTTCTTCCGGAGGAATTTCAAAATTAAATGGATAGAAAATGATTTCATCGTTCACGGGAATGTTAAAATGTTGTTGCACATTGTTCTCTTCGAAGGGAATTTCAGAAGTCCCTGTCTCAAACAAGGAGTCCATTCTTTGATTGGAATTAAAATTTCCGTCATACAAAGGAAAATCATTATTTGCAAATTGTGCAAAGGGATTCTCAGATAAAGAATTTAAAATTAATAAAGGTGGAGTGCTCGTGTCTGAAGAAGATGAAGGTGAAGGTGAAGTTAAAGTTGTTAAAGAAGGTGAAGGTGAAGTTAAAGTTGTTAAAGAAGGTGAAGTTAAAGTTGTTAAAGAAGGTGAAGGTGAAGTTAAAGTTGTTAAAGAAGGTGAAGGTGAAGTTAAAGT